AAAAATTTTCATAAGATTAAACAATGAAATCGACAGATGAAGGTGGTTTGCACGGTTTATACAAATGAGGGCGGTTTTCATATGATCACTCCTCTATACATATATATATATACTTATAAGCAAAATTGTATTTTCCAAGATAAGTAACGTACTGTTGCATCCACATACAGTAATATTTGCAAAAAATAAAATATCAAACGCATATTATTTACATAGTTAAACAATTTGTATACATGGTTGAGTTTCGGTTGAAGAGAAGTTATATACGGTGAGAACTGAGAAGCATAAGAAGAGATCTTCACCCTTGGATTAATCCTAATTAAATGTCAACATTGATGAGGTGCACCGAGATGTACAAGATCAATTTCCTTCTAAAACGCAATTCATTAGTGGGCATGAAATTAAAAATGATCAAGAGTTCAGATCTCTTCTTACGTTTCTCATTATAAGTTCTCTTTTCACACGATCCTTCGCCTTAGTAAATCCCATAAATCCCATGAATTTTTCAGCAGAAAATAAAGACTTAACCATGCAGAATACACACCTGAGACTTAGGGTTATTTTTTTAACCATACCAGCTTGTGATTACCTCGACTGATTTCAGGGCACGGAGAATAGTAGCCTTGTAGGACTCAAACCTATAACCTCTGAGGAAGATCGGCCCAAGTTTTATTGACAGTTGAGCTAATTCCAGAACGATAACTTATGGGTCATTTACTAATACTTGCCGGGTTAAGTATCTTACAGTAAGAATTGTAGCAAAAATCGAGATTTTTTTTTAAAATTTCAGGCATCCACAACAATTGTGGCCACTTAGTTTTTCAGGACTGATGTTTTACGGTCGCAATTTGCATGATTAGTCTGGGCATAGCACTGGAACACCCTTCCAAAAAGGAGCTATTACCAACAAAAAAACACTTACCAACAATCCATTTCAATTGTCGAGAATATTACATGATATGATAAGATAAGTAAAAATAACATAACTTAGAATCCAACATTTATGTATTCACTAAAATGATCAATGAACATGTGATAAAATAGGCACCACTTCATGTATTATTTAATTTCAGGGTTCAATTTAGGAAAAGAAACACAAAATGTGCAAGAATGATCAACTCCATACCTTATAAACGGGACCAAACCCACCTTCACCAATCTTGTTTTCAACAAAGAAATTCTTGGTGGCTGCTTCAATGGTGCCCAGATCAAATTGTAGAGATCCTACTGAACCCATTTCCATTTCAACTACACCAATTTAAGATTATATAAGACAATCTGTTTATTTTCTTTCCCGAAAGGGAAATTTGTCGGAAGTTTCATTGATTCATCGGTTCTAAATCATTTCCAACCGAGATACCTCACTACAACAAAATTGAGTTTATAGGACCTCTAAAGTGTTTTAAATGTCCTGATAGAGTGTCTTATTCGGACTTACGTTTATAGGATCAAAAAATAAATCATACTACCTAAAAACGTTAGATTAAGTTTATAAGACGCTTTTGGGGGGTTATAACAAGTTTTGTATTACATTTTTTAAATAAAGTATCATATTAACTATTTTATATGACACTATTTGAAAATGTGTTCTGTAAAAAATGGGTTTACAGGACACTTTTCAAAATTGTCCTATAAAATTGCTAATACAACTTCATTTAAAAATGTTCTAAAAAACTTGTTACAATGCCCAAAAGTGTCCTATAAACTTATTGTAACACTTTTGGACAAGACATTTGATTCGTTAATCATATATACTTAAGTCCTATAAAGTACTCATTAACACATTTAATGAACCGAAAATAACCCCTTTTACATGTTATTTTAACTCATTCATATATATATTTATCCTCACATGTATTTTCCTAAGCTTTCAGTTTGACTCAATGGGGGCTCAAATGTCAATTAGAAGGCCAAATTTTATAAATTTGAGAATCGCCGCTTAATAATATATTTACTCTTATATCATGTGTAAACATCGTATCTATGGGAAAATGGGACAAGAGAGAAAGAGAAATGGTCCAAATGCAGTTTTATACCTGATCCAGCTTCAGCAAAATTAACACTGTGATTTTGGTTTTCGCTCATCAGTAGAGAAGAAAACGCACTCTTATTTTGTTTATTCGCAGCAGCATTACGCCTTGCTTTCATAACAAGAAAACATAAGGCAATACTAACGAGCCCAACGAAAACACATGCAATAGAAACGATGACGTAAATTCTTTTTGACGAGTTTCGTGTTCCTCCTGCATGCATGGACAACATTACTTGTCAAGAAAGAAATGTTCAATTGTAATGTACATGCATGGCTTGGGTTCAAGTACAAGATCACTACGGTACATCCTTCAAATAGTGTATATGATTTTATACCAAACTAAACCGAACAAATCCAAATATATCTAGCTTCTTAAAATAGAGGGTACTCGAGGGTGATAATTAAGGTGCATGTAGACCTTAGCACTGTGTCACAAGACTTCAAAACCAAACCACGTAAGCAGGTGGCACTCGTCCAGACTTAGAGGGATAATAGTGGAAATTTCACCTTTCCTATCAACCTGTGAATTGACTAGGAAACCCATGTTTACCCAAGAAAAAGTAGTTTTAATATCATTACAATTTTGTTTCCTTAAGAGATTAAATTATAAATGTTGACAATTTATATATTGAACAAAATCATACATCATACGCTCAAAAGAGACGATAAAGAATCCAACAACCAATGATGAAAATGTCTGTGAGTTTATTTATTGCATTAATCAGATATGATATATATTATATACTAAAAAAAATCCAACAAACCTTATTCTTAAAAAGGGGACTCCTTTAGGTCGAATTATTTAAATAAAAAACAACGTGCAGAAATAACTTCTTTTATAAATATTAATTTAAAAAAAGTTTTAAAAAAATAAATTATATATTTAGTTTAATTTAATTTCTTAAATATCAAATATCATCAATAAATGAAAAGCAACAATTATGTGTTCGTAATATCATGAGATAAAGGAAAAAGGGAACAAGATTCTTGCCAATAAAGTGAATTATAGATACAAAGCAGACATCCTTTGACCATCTTCCACGTTCGAATTTTAGGATATATATCGGCAAAATTGAGTTCTTATTTCGACGGCCAATATCTTTGATACATTTGGATAACGGTTGAAGTATTAACCGATTATCATATTGATGTGATATTCAACTCAGTATTATTTGTTGATGTGGTTCTAAAATTAGTCTTCAACCGGTTACTCGGGTACTTAAATATTTAAAACTTTACATCTTAGGTATTAAAATGGAATTTTTGAAAGTACGTTACACATAATAGGAATTGAGTTAAAGTACGTTACTTTTTTCATGCAATTTGTCCTATAGAAAAACACATATGTTACCAATCTTTTTACTAATTATTCAGATATGAAGATTTATATATAAACTCACGTTTTTATTTACCATTAATTCATTACAAACGCAGAGAATTCACCGATGAAAAATATGCATAGTAAAAAGACATCATCGGCGGATTATCAAAGGATCTCTTCGTTAGAGAAGTATGGCATATGTGATTACCGGTGGATTTTTTATCACCAACGGATCCGTTACAAATCTGTTGGTATTACTGATGAAAAAGTCGAGGAATTCTTTTTGTTTCTTAGTGATTCACACATGAATAACTTATTTTGTTCTTACCATCTTTATCTTCCTAATACTGAAATCAAATTCCTGGATCAAAATATGGATAACACTAGAAATAAAAAATGGAAATTGATGAATTTAATCGTCAAGCATAAGATGAAAACCGTACCAGGACTTGCCGACGACGGCGTTGAAGACGGCGTCGGAGATGGCAGTGAGATAGCCGGCGGATCATTATAAAATGAAGCATTCGAATACCGAACATAGCAACTTGGAAAAAACACTCCGACGTCAATATCGCCATTACAGCAGGTTTGAGCTTCACTAAACACAACCGACAAGCACGAATTGCAGTCAAAAGCTGACAGATCGGGCGAACATTGCATCATACCGTAAATCTTCGATGAATCCGTCCCGTAATTGACATCTCCGGTGGCAAACTTCCGTAGAGAGTTCCCTCCGGCGGATTCCGCCCGTAATCTTCCAGCTAAATCTCTCAACGCCTTACCGAAATCGTCAATGTTCGATGCGTTTACATAACTCCGAGATTTAGCGTTAGGTCGAGAATCATAAGTTGGACTATAAGTACGATTTGAATAGAGTACAGTACAATTCAAACTCCAAATTAAGGCTTCTATTTGGTTAGAACAGGTACGTCTTAGCAGGACGATTGAGTTTCTGACACAATCCTTGCATATTTCCGATCCGATGTCGCCGCGGCAGAGAGCGATGGCGCTGACAGTGTCTGGACTTTTGCCTGCCGAGGCATTGGAGAACCCGTAGTGCGTCCCGACGGCGGAGGAGACGGAGGCGAGTGCGGTATCGATATTTGTTTGGTAGACGCTGTTGTTTGTAAAATTTTCAGAGGTTCTGCACCGGAAAATTGGAAAATCGTTCGTTTGGCCGGCGGCGAAACAGAGAGATTGTAAGAGAATTAGAAGCAAAAATTGAATCATCGAAATGGATTCCATTGTTGAATGAACGTGTCAGAAAACAGAAAGGTTGGTGGTGCATTTCTATATAAAGGGCTGTTAACAAATTTTTAAAATTGTACCCTTCAACTAATGTATTTTTGCAAAATAAACCCTTCATAAGTTTAATTGTAAAAAACCGTTAGATCAAGAAAAACCAGTCGAACTAGACCAATTTATATTGTATTTTTGCGGTTTTCTTTAAAATTTACTCAAATTGAATACAATTTATAAACTTAAAGGACCAAAATTGAAATTATTAACCAACCACAAAAATAAAAAACGTAATCTACTCTATATCTATTGGAGTTTATTATATTAATTATAACGAAAAAATTGTATGAAAACATAACGTATTTTAAATTTTTTTATATATTTGGTAATGAATTTTTAAAACTTTCATTTTGGTATCTAAGATATAAGATTTTAAACATTTAAGTATCCGGGTAATCATTTAAAGCATTAACCGATTACCATACTGATGTGGCAAGTGATTTGGTATCCAACTCAGAATTATTTACCAACATGAATATCTTAATCTAACCGGTTAATGCTTCAACATGTTCAACCGATTACCCGGGTACATAAATATTTAAAATTTTATATCTTATGTACCAAAATAAAAGTTTTGAAAGTAAGTTACCAAAAATAAAAATCAAGTTAAAATATATTTTTTTAATGCAATTTGACCAATCATAAATATATTATTAAATAAATAAGATGAAATTTAAAGCATAATATTATAAAATTATAATGACTATCTTTTTTTTAATAAGGCTAAATTTATAGCTCAAAAGAAGCTCGAATCACTTTGACTGATCGATCAATCAATCCATAAGAACGTTGTGTAACGTGTTTGATCACGTCGATCAAGTAATACTGTACAGTTTGAAATTTTTATTAAAATCACTAGCACGTTGCAGTTTGGTTTGATAAAAAAGGAGTTAGGCCAGTAACTCTAAAGTCGACTGTATCTTAGAAGGACTACTTGGAAAATTTCTCAGACAAAGGAAGTATTAACAGGGGAGTATTAATTTTCCCACGATCGTAAATTGTATTTACTTTCTATTTATATTATACGTACTTTGCAAGAACTTCATTAGTTTGCAACGAAAAATCTGGTTAAGTCAGGAACTTTTAAATCGACCTATGGTCGTTGTTTATTGGGAAAGTACATTAATATGATACTTTAGATGTTCTACATATTTAATTACTACAACGTAGAGTTGGGATTACTGGTTTTGAGTGTCTGATCCCAACTGTTTAAGATCAAAATACCATATTGGTTTAAGGTCATGTTTGATAAGCCAACTTATTTTTTGAGCTTATTGCAAAAGTCTCATTTAGACAGATAAAAAGTAGCTTATTAGCTATAGATAAAATTATGAATAGATAAGTGTAGATAAATAAGATTAGTCTCAAAAGTTTTGGGTTTTTTTTTTGCAAATGTTTGAAGTCAAATAACTAATCATAACCAAATAAGTTTCAAAATCTATCAGGTATGTTATGACATGGTGGTCAAGTCCATCTCTGATGATGTCCGGTCCAGGCTGATTGGTCTTACCATGAAGCCTTCCCCGAAAGTTTGTCTGGATACTTCCCTAGTGGTTGGTTCCTTTCTCCCCCCCCCCCCCCCTTCTTCCTTCTACTCTTCCTCTTCTGGGCTTTGCTCCTTTCTGGTGGTTGTTTCGGTTTTGTCTCCACCCGAGTGCTGGTCTTGGTTTTATTTTTCTGTATTTTTAAAAAAATCTTGTTTTAATATTTTTTTTCTTGATTGAAGGGACCGCCCCCCTCTATAGTGATGGCCAAATCGGCCCGACCAGGGGCCGAGACCGACAAAGGACCGGTTATGGGACCGAAAACCAGGACCGGTTGGTGTTTTTGGTAGTTTCATGAGACCGGGACCAGTTATGGGACCGGCTATGGACCGGCCCGGCCCGAAAATTCAAATAATTTTATAAATAAATGTATTTTCAAATAATTTTATAATGTATTTTTATAAGACAATGTAATTTAATTATATTAAAACGTATTTTTAAAGTGTATTTGAGTGACCCAATTGTAAATTTTTTAATGTATTAAAAATAAAATTTTTAAAAAAATCTTATTTTTTTAATGTCGGGACCGTTAAGTATTTATCAGATAAATGTTTAGTAAACCTTATTTTAATCTCAAAGACAAAAATAAAAATGAATTATTAATTATAAAAATAAAAACCATAATTCTGAAATTATGGGACAAAATTGGCAATTTCTAATAAACATAACGACGAAAAATATAATTTACTCAAAAATAGAAAAAAGGAAAAAAAAAATGGTGATGGGCTCTTTTTAGCGGCCCATATATAACAAATCAGCCCAATACAAGGCTGGTCCAATAGCAGCCAGGTCCAATTTTCAAGTGCTAGCAAGTCCAACAAGGATTCTTGTAAGTCTGTAAACGAACCGAACCGAACAAATACGAGCGGAGGTTTGTTTATGTTTGTTTGTGTAACTTAATCGCACAATCGAATGGACATAAGCAATAAACGAATAGAATTGTTTGTGTTCATGTCTATTCGTTAAGAAAGTGTGTTTGTTCGTATTCGTTTATATTCGTTAAGATACTAAACGGACGTAAATGAACGAACATAAATGAACTAAATGAACGAACATAAATGAATAAAAGAACAACCACCATTACTCATCACTCCGTTTCTTAAAGAAATTCTAAATTTTTTTAACTTAATTAATAATTTTACATATTAACGTTATAATATATAAATATGATTTATACATAAAAAAACCATAAACAAATATAAATGAACGTAAACGGACATAAATGAGTGAACGAGACCATTGTTTATGTTCGTTTATTTAAACTAAATGAACAAAAAAATGGGTTCATGTTCGTTCATTTAAACTAAATGAACAAAAAATGGGTTCGTGTTCGTTCATTTATTAAATACACGGACTACCCGCCAAACAGTTTATGAACGGTTTGTTGAATCTTCGGTTCGATCGTCCTGGATCTAAGTTTATCCAAATCGTACTCGATTAAAAACAGGTCAAATTGGCTTTTCAGACTTCCGTTTGTGTTTTCACGAACTTCTATTTCAGTGATTACAAACTGTAATACGTACAAAAATCGAAATTTTAATTGTAAATCAAAATGAAGGTGTTGTACACTTTTGCAAAAGGGAATCAGAAAACCACAAGGGTGGTGCCTGATTGGTTTGAACTTGACTCCAAAAGTCAAAAGTACTAGGAGGTCTCAGGTTCAAATCCAAGGAGGAATAAAAATCCCCTTGTGGCCACAGAGGTTCAAATGCGGTGACTCCGGGCTATCTGCAAAGCAAGTGATCATCCTCGTATTAGTCAGCTCACATAACGGGTTGGATATCCAGGTTAATAAAAAAAAGGGAATCAGAGAGATAGATGAGCAAATTCATTAAGAAGAAGCAGTGAAGGTTGAAAAACGAGAAGAGGACAGTGTTCGGGATCAAGATTCGGACCAATCCGCCTGCCCAACTTCTTCTATTTACAGTGATTTGTGTATCTACTCCAATAATACTATTGTACCATACCATTATGGAAGAAGATTCGGCCAAAATTGTGGTTGCAGATAATTCAAGGTAAAATACTCTCGTCCTTTTGGTTTGATGTGACATTTGTAGGGTAAACATGTTCTTATTCAAGTTTGATTGTCGGTTTCAGACCAACGTTGGACATCATGTACGGTCATGCATGTTTCCGTTAGTAATATTTGGAACAAGTTCGGTTTTCTACCGTTGAAAAACGGTATGTTTGGGGACTGCACAATATAAAATTTACTGGAAATCAAAAGGAAAAGAAAATGGGTTTTGGAAGGTCTATACGAATCCAATTCTTAGGTCAATGTATGTGTGTGTATATATATATATATATATATATGTATATATATTAATTATGTTATCCTTTTTATTACTTAATTCTAGGAGATATCCTTATTAAATCACTTGCCTGTTCATAATTTAACGTGCCGTAATCAAGATTAAATATCGTTTGGGTACTTTAATTTGGTATGGAGAACTACAATATGTATAAAATGTCAAGTCTATAATTAAAAGACGTAGATAGGCTTATAGGCTCAGGGGTTAATTTGTAGTTAACCTTTAGTTGACTTTTGGCGAGTTGGGTCATTAATGGGATGCAGTGTGTAACTTGTAGGTCGCTGGTCAGACACTAACACTAGCCGATCTACGCAATCAGGTGAGATTTCATGTGATTTACCCTGAGATGTATGCATACGTACCTTTTTATATCATTTTGGAGCATGTTTCATTTGATGAAAAATATTATCGATATCTATGCCATTTCATTGGAGTTATTTATATATTATTGTTTGCTTCCATGACATGTAAAATGTGCTTTGGTGTATTGCATGCTATTATTTAATTACTTTAAAATTTCAATCATGCCATGTTAAAAATTCGATTTTTATGATTTGTGAAACGAGTCTTAGTGTGTGTTGGGATTACAACCGGCACGTCGGTAAGATAGACATGCTGTCCTGTGAAGGAGAATGGTCGGATGTGGGTCGCGCCCACTAGAGCCAAATAAAGGAGATCACAAAGAGGTAAAGTAATCCCTACCGTGTTAAGACATGTTGGGAGATTTACTAACTTAACTGTTGTTAAACGTGTTCGAAAAAAATGCATGATATTTGTTTTTTTTTCTTGGTGTTGAATAATCATCTGCTTGATCATGAGTGATTTTTATGCACGAAAACCATGGAATCACTGAGCTTTTAGCTGACTATTAGCATGCATCTCAGGAGCGGAAGGTTCAGGTGTGGATAAAGGTAAGGGCCCGACTTAGGGGCCGTTTACCAATTTTTTTGGTTAAGTGCTGATTCGGGTAAGAGGTCTGACTGTGATAAGAGGTCTGACTGGATTAAGTGCAAATTGTATTTTATTGTTTACCGAACATTTTGTGTTAAGTGTTGATTGAGTAAAAAAGACCATTATATCTTTTTTTTTGGAATAAGTATTAATTGAAACTCATTGTATTATTTAAACCCAATCATATCTGAATAAAATTAAAAAAAACTAGCCCATATCAGCCCAGATACATTTAAGCCCAATTATATTAATCTATATGTATTTCTTTTCCACTCAAAACCCTATTTCTCTCAACTTGAAACTTCCCTTATTTTCTCTCCCACCTCCAGACCGGCCGCCGTCGCCGCCTCCCGTCGACCCTCCAGTCGCCGCCCTCCCGACGCCGCCCTCCCGTCGCCGCCCTCCCGTCACCCTTCAACACCTTGAACCGGACATGCTTCCCTACCTTGAATCAGACATGACCCACCTGTTTGTATAAAGAAAGATGCATCTATTTAGGATTTTAGATGAAGAGGGTAGATTAGGAATACATACCTCTTACCACGGTAAGATTCATTTTTTTTGCTGACTCCAGTAAGAGGACGGTCAGAGGTTGAAAATCTGATTGTTGATTTTGCTGTTAGGTAAACACTTTTACCTCTTACCCGGGTAAGCATCTCTTAACGAGTAAGAGGTGGTAAGAGATTAGTAAACAGCCCCTTAGACGTATTAAATTTGCTTTAATTTTAAGTAACTTAATTATGGTTTAAATTTTGTTGGGTCATTGACCAACATCTTTCTAAATCGAAACGTGAAGCTGACTACTACGCTATAAACCACAGCGAAGGAAATACACCGTTATGCATGCCATCATATGCACCATGATGAGTCTGCCCCTTGTGTCAAAATTAACACTTAAATAACTCTTCCCATACGTGAATAAGGTTTTCGGTTCACGAGAGAATAACTTGTTTTTGTGAGACTCGTGAGACTACAAAATAACACTGAAACTTTACAAAAAATTTATTAAAAAAGTATGAAAACAAACAAACATTCACAAAAAAAAATACTGTGAAAATTTATTTTCATAAACCTTCACAATGTTATTTAAGTTGTCTTACGGATATGATGTGAATATATCAATATTTGTGTGCGGTGGAGATTGCACAAGACTTGTTGGTTGACTTGATGAATATATCGTTATTTTGCCGTGTCCAAGACTTCAGATGTCTTGGTCAATGGTCAATAGTCAATAGTCAATAGTCAACACATGCTCTATTTTTCCAAATTGATGGGATACTCATTTATCATCTTTTCTATCCATTACTATTATTGTTCCCATCCTTTTAAAATAAATGTAGCAAAAGACTGTAAAGGTAATTTTTCGATTTTTTTATATCTTTATAATGTTTTGTTATGATATTTTAAATATAAAAAAATGATTTTACGGGTCTCACGTAAACCCAACCTATATATATATATATATCGAGAGAGAGAGATGAACGATCAAAAGCAAACCACCCATATTTGTACAAACAGTGCAAACCATCCTCATCCGTTGATTTCATTGTTTAATCTTATCAAAAAAATTCATAAAATTTGTTTAATCTTATGAAATTGTCTCATATAATATTTTTTTTATGAAGTTGTTTTATGTATGGTTCTAAAATTTCACTGAAACTGTTTCAAGTTTTTTTTTACTGAAGTTGTTTCATATATTATTCAAATTATAAGATCTAGCATCATCAAATATTGAACTGTTATTCGTTGTCATCCATTCCCGTATCTTTTTAGTATAAACAAGACTTTAATTACATCAATAAGGGGTTGTTAATGGTTACTGAATGGTTTGGTGCATAATGATTAAAAGGCTCTCATGATATAGTATAAAATGAAATATAATTGTTCACTAATTGTTTACAATGAAATATGTGTATTGAATGGTTAAGGAAGACCCATGATAAAAAATCATTCAGAGGGTTTAAAAATCATAAAGAGACAAACTTTTTTTTTTTTGCCAAACAAGATTCACCTCTTAACAATTAAGAGAATGCCTCTTAATGGAACTATTAAGAGATAAACAAACAACTCCTAAAACGTTAATAAAACAAAAAATCGTCTATCAAAAACAAGCATCCTCATGGTCCCTGACGTTAACAGCAACGACCCAGTTATATTTCTAATGCGTATTAAAGAAAAATTACAAGTTCAAACACACACACACACACACACACACACACACACACACACACACACATATATATATATATATATATATATATATATATATATATAGGTTGGATTCATGTGAGACCAAGAGTTTTTCGTGAGACCCGTAAGATCAGTTTATGTTCATTGATCAATTTTATAAGCTAATGATCTAATGGTCTAAAGTTGCACAGTGACAAATTTTTGATTATTGAGAAGTCTTGTGACAATTTTGCGATTATGAATGTTCAGATTGTGGATCTAATCTAAAGATTGAGAATTGGTTTTACGGGTCTCACGAAAAACCTTTAGTCTCACGTGATCTCAAATCTATAAATCTATATATATATATATATATATATATGTGTGTGTGTATATATATGTATGTATGTACCAAAAAGTTCAATCATCATTCCAAAACATAAATAAAGGGTAAAATGGTCCATCCAAAGTTCCTTCTTTCTCTTTGCTTGTTCACCAGTCTCCTAGTAGCAGGAACCACCATGGCTAAAACTGAGTTGCTTTATGCCGTCTGTTCAAGTGGAGAAAATTACACAAGAACCAGTTCGTTTCGAACAAATCTCGAAACTGCCCTTTCGATCAAAACCACCCAAATCAACTATGGGTTCTACAACTTTTCCGGTCGTCCGAATTCCGACAGAGTTGATGTGATCGGACTTTGTAGAGGAGATATTAATTCCACAAGTTGTCGTTCATGTCTTCACGATTCCGGCGAGAATCTCCGGCAGCAATGTCCGAATCAGAAAGAGGCGATTGCGTGGGCAGATGAGTGTATGATCAGATATTCTAATCGCTCGATTTTACATATGAACCAGACTTTGCCGGCGATCTTCTTGTTCAACGCCAAGAATGCTTCTGATCCAACTCGTTTTAACAAGGTAAAATAGAATGAAATTGTTTAGAAAAACCCAATAAATTTTTGGGTTTTCAACGATTAAATCTAAACTTCCATTTTGGTACCTAAGATGTAAAGTTTTAAACATTTAATTACACGAGTAACTGATAGAAGCATTAACCGGTTACGACGTTGATGCGGCAAGTGATGTGGTATCAAAACTTGGTATTATTTGCTATTCAGTTCAATTTCATCTCATCACTCGCCACATCAGCATATTAACCGGTTAATGCTTCAACCGGTTACCCGGGTAATTAAATGTTTAAAGTTTTAAATCTTAGATATCAAAATGAAAGTTCTGAAAGTACGTTACCCAAAATAGGAATCAAGTTAAAGTATGTTATTTTTTTTTATTCAATTTGCCCTTTTTCGAGTGATGTGGTATCAAACTTAGTATTATTTGTTATTCAGTCCAATTTCATCTCATTACTCGTCACATTAACATGGTAAACGGTTAATGCTTCAACCGGTTACGCGGGTACTTAAATGTTTAAAGCTTTACATCTTATGTACCAAAATGTAAGTTCTGAAAGTACGTTACCGAAAATAGAAATCAAGTTAAAGTACATTATTTTTTTCATGCAATTTGCCCTTTTTTTGAATATTATAAACCGTCAAAACATTTTAGAAATGTGTTACCAACATTTTTTTAACCCAAAAAAACTATTTGAAACCAGCTGAGAATGTTTAAAAGTAAAAAAAAAAAAAAAAACTAAATCAGCTTTATCGTTCCTAAACTTTACGTCATTCAAACTTTTGCACCCAACACTATCCCTCCCCTGGCCTCTCCATCGCCGTTCACTCTTTATCACCGGTGATGGCCAAACCGGCCCAGCCGGGCCCGGAACCGTCGGAGGACCGGGACCGGCTCGGCCTGGGACCAGTTTTTGGCAATCACTAATCACCACTCATCCTGACGTTGTCCTCTGTAATCAATCTTCTTATTTTGACTTTTTTTTTTTGCTTTTCTATTCTTTGACCTTTTCAACAATTTAGGGGGTGTTTGCGATTGCTTATTTGAAACAACTTATTCTTTTCTACAAAAGTCGTTATTAACTTATTGTATGTTAGAATGGTTTAACTTCTTAAAAAACTCTTTATTACCGGTTTGACACTGGTATAAGATGTTTATTCAAACACTAAAAAAATGTTTATTACTGGTGCCACATCGGAATAAGTCAATAAGTTGTTTTTGTAAGCAATCTCAAACACCTTCTGAATAGAGTATAGATAGACAGATAAAAAAAGAGGGAGAATTTAAAAAAAAACACATCAAAGAGAGTGAGATTGACGATAGGAGGTGCTGAGCGGACGACCATGGGACGGTGAGGGGGAGTGATGACTTTGGGTGTGAGGGGTTTAAATAACATAAAACTTGAGAATGGTAATTAAGGGGCCGTTTATCAAACACTTACTCGGTAAACATTTATCGGTAAAATCAACACTATCATTTACTTAACGGGCAAGATTTTAGTCAATAAAAATGGCATCATATGTAACAATTTTACCCGGTAAGCGTTAATTGTGGTAAGAGTCATTGCCCTCACTTACCGGGTAAGACTCTCGGTCCTTTCCTCGCTCTTACCGGGTAAGATTTTTGGTTCTTGCCATATTCATACAGTAAGGTAATCTAACTTAGGGGTTGTTTACCAAACACTTACCTAGTAAGTGGTTACCGGTAAAATCTAACACTATTATTTATTTACCGGGTAAGATCTTAGTCCACCAAAACGACATCGTATGCAACAATTTATCTGGTAAGCGCTTATCGTGGTAAGAGTCGTCGCCCTCACTTACCGGGTAAGAGTCCACCAAACAGATCGAGTTACGTTTTACCATATATCTTGCGTTGATTGGTAGTAGGGTACAAGATAATTTCGTTTTCGAATTGCAGGCAGTGAGGGGTTTGTTGGACAACCTACGAGCCAAAGCAGCTGCGGGTGGTTCGAAGCTCAAGTATGCGACCGGACACACGAACTCAACCAAGTCATCCGAAAACATATTCGGATTGGTTCAGTGCACACCGGACTTGTCAATGGCGCAATGCAGTGACTGCTTAAATGAGACGTTCAAATTTCTTCCACAATGTTGTGACGGGAAGATCGGCGGCAGGGTTCTCGGACCAAGCTGTAATTTCCGGTACGAAATTAACCGTTTCTACGGCCAAACTACTCTGCCATATGCACCTGCACCTGCACCAGCACCAGAAGCACCAGACGCACCTGCACCGGAACCAGACGCACCTGCACCTGCACCTGCACCGGAACCAGACGCACCTGCACCAGCACCAGAGACCGACGCACCACTACCATCGGACAGACCAGTAACACCGCCACCTGTTCCGTCTACCCCCAGCGATGGATTACCACCACCACCAACTCCTCAAGGTATGTCCTCTAGCAGTTTTCACTGTATTTGGTAAAAAGTTTATTACCGACAATTCTAACCGGCCCCACAAGAACCTGCCTCCAAAAAGACCAATGTGAAAAAGCACTTTTTGGCATAGGCAGACCTACATAGGTGCCATGGGTGGCACGTGCCACCGTATCATTTCTCCGCCGAAGGGTAAAAAATTTAAGTTTCGTGAACGGTGCAACCGTATTAATTTGTTGTGTGTCACCGTATGTATTTTGAAACTACAATGAGAACAAGTTTTATTTGGTAGAGTTGGTTTGCAAGGCTTTTATTCTACCCCACACCCAAGTCCGAATCATGTTAGTGTCATTTTCTTAGTCAAACGGTGCCATCGTTTGAAAAAAATTTCCTATACTTTTTTCTTATGATCAAATGGTGCCACCGTTTAAATTTTTTTTTTTTGGGTCCGTCCCTGCTTTTTGGTTCATTCAGTTGTTGAGGCTAGTGGTGCCAGAGGCCTAGAATCGAACCACAAACCTGTTTTGTATTCGAGCAAAGTCATCTTGCCCCTTTATAGCTACACGCCAATTAACGCTACTAAACGGAATTAAGACTTTTACCTCCGGATTTTTCTCTGGAAATCCGTCGCTAACGGGGTGATTTGTCACAATATTGTCACAAAAGTTGGTGGGTAACAACCAGATATTTAAAAAAAAAACATCATATTCGACTAGAACCACTGATATTTTCTGAGTAATTCATCGGTAATCATTGATCAGAGTGATATTTGTAGGTAAAAGTCATTTGTTTTGTTTTTCCAGACATAACTGATTGTTTATTTGCAGGTGGAGGAGGAAACAAGAATCTAGGGCTTTTTGGTTTATCAATGGTAATGGCTGTAATACTAGCAATCTTGATCTTCTGAACTTGTTTCATGTCCTCTTTAATAATGCTCTTTTAACTCTCATTATTTCTCTTTATTCAGTTATAATTTTTCATCTTATCCTTATAGTATTTCTCTATGATAATCTCTCTTTTAATCTCTCAATTCTTCTTTTCTATTCAGAAGAGTGTATCAAGAAAGATAGGTTATGATTTTTTCATATTAGTAATCTTTCATATGGTTTTTAAGATATCGATGTTGATCGGTCTGCTGAAATTCTTTTCTTCTTTGGCATTGGGCTTGAAATTTATTTTCTAGTGTTTTTAGTTCTTAATCTTAGGGGCCGTTTATCTATACACTTACCCAGTAAGTACTTACCAGTAAAATTCAACACTATCTCTTACTTGCCGGGCAAGATTTTATTCACTAAAACGCATCGTACATTCGTATGCAACAATTTATCCCGGTAAGCACTAACCATGGTAAAAGTCTTTGTCCTCACTTTCCGGGTAAGACTCTCGATTTTTGCTTTCGCTCTTACCGGGTAAGATTCTTAGTCTTTGCCATATTCATCCGGTAAAGTAAATTGACTTGGTAAGCGCTTACCCGGGTAAGCGTTTGGTAAACGGCAACTTACTCTCTATTATTTTTTTTAAGGAGAGTATTACGAATGGAAAGAAAAACGCTCACTTATATTTGCTAAGGACGTTAATTTTTCCGTCATCAAACCACAAAACGAAGTCTTGAATGTCAATTAAAACAAATTTCTTGCAAATACAAACGAAATTCATAAATTTTGGGGTTTCCATGAATTTACAAGAGTAATTTACGTTTTTGTTCTTGTAGTTTGTTAAAAATTACGATTTTAACCCCTATTTTTAGAAGTTGTTGTTTTCATCCATATCGTTTGTAGTTCATTGAATATTTATGAATAAAAAGAAAGATGACAGAGATTTGAATTGTATAATAAGATTTAAGTAGTTAAATTTTTTGAATTATAATGTTATTTTAGTTATCTAACTTTGTCCATTTATTTAAAATATCATTAAAACCAAATGTTACGTTGTTTTTACATAAATTTGTATTATCATGCAACACGCGATATCGAACACTAGTTATATACTGAAAATATGAAAAAGAAATCTTGATTTTGATATATATATATACGCTGAGAAAGTTAGTAAAGATGGATGCATTTAGCCTATTTAACGCGTCGCTCGTTAATTTAGTAAATAAGAAATTTATAATTCATGTTTTGGTATATTATGAATTTGGTTCGTTGATTGTTGGTTACTTTAGGTTTGGTAGGCATGATAATGGGGCGGGGACCTCAATTCCCGTCCCCATCCCTGCAGGGAAATATAATCGTATCCCCATCTCCAACGGGGAAACGGGGATTTTTTTTCCGTTTATATAAGGTATTTTAAATTTAATATGTGAGAGACCATACATGTTTAAATCTCAAACATTTTCAATAAACCTAAAACCAAAATGAATTTAATTTAATTAAAAAAAAACCACAATATCATAAAAGAACTAATAACCTAACACAAAAAAAATTAATTTAATCCAAAAAAACTTAAATTCACATGTACCAAAAGATATTGAGTAATATAAAACCATATCAAGTAATATACAAAACTTATCGATTAATTGTATTTTGACTTGAAATCCAAATATGTAATAATATTAATATCCAAAAAATAACAAAGATTATAAACCTAGTTAGGAAATAGGAAATTATGAATTACCGTTTTAGTTAAAATAAATAATATATATAGCGGGTACAAGACAGGACGGGGAGTACCATATCCGTCCCCGTCCCCATCCCCGATTTAACAGGGAATCCCCATCCCCGACCGGGGTGGGTGGACTGGATTGGGTTCCCCGACGGGTCGGGGCCCATTCCCATGCCTAAGGTTTTGGTCCCCGAACTCAATTTAGTACCAAAGAAAATCCCGAAGGTTTACATTTTGTTTTAGATTTGGTCCTTGGTCTTAACTCTTAACGTGTTTACCATCCCTGTTAATTGTGAGGGTATTTTGGTCTTTTACCATTTTTTTCCAATTAATATTTTCTAAATTTCTTTACATTGAGAGTCTTAATTATTTTAAGAACATGATAATAACTCTTGCCATAGGTGAATATATCAATTTTTTTGGTGAACTGTGGGTTTTCGGACAGTTTATACACACCGACTAATCCCTCGGACGATTACGAATGACTTTGAGTCATTGCATGTGAATCTCCATGGCTAAAAGGGCTTTAGCAACTCTTGGATTTAAACCTCAGGAAAATGACAAAAAGGCCCCCGTAGTTAATAAGATGGTGGACCGGCGTTAGGGAGATAACCAAATACAAAACAAAATGTAAACCTTGGGGTTGGTTTGATAAAATGGTTATGAGGGATTTAGATTTTGTGGAAGAATTTAGAATTGAGCAGATTTGAAATCTTTGGTGTGATTGGTTTGTAGGACTTCAAACGCAATTAAGGGTCCGTTTACCAAACACTTACCTGGTAAGTGCTTACCATTAAAAAACACAATCATTTACTTATCGGGTAAGATTTTAGACCATCAAAACGGTATTGTATGCAACAATTTACCCGGTAAGCGCTTAACATGGTAAAAGTCGTCGCCTTCACTTATTGGGTAAGACCCTTGGTCCCTTGTCTTGTTCTTACCGGATAAAATTCTTAGTCCTTACCATATTCATCCGGTAAAGTATTGTGACTTGGTGTTCAATTACCCGAGTATGCGTTTGGTAAACGACCTCTAAGTTTCATTCTTTACAGATAATTTATAAAAATAAATCATCATTATAAAAATAATTAAATTACCACTTTATTAATTGATTATTACACAATAAATGTTTTTAACATATTAACCATCCATGTGGGATTTCAAAATCCTGTGTTTGAGGGATTTCAATAATATTGCAGATTTTCAATTTTAGAAAATCTGTTAAACCAAATATAAGGTTGGAATGGAATTCAATTCCAAATCTCTTCATATCCAATCCATTGCAATCCTACAAACCAAAGAGAAGAATATATGCATTTGTACAGTACATAAATAGTCCGTTACAGTATATAGAGTATAATCGTAAAATCTCTAACGTAAAAACGTTTATACGATTTAGTACATAATATACAACAAATGAACTTACAAACTCTTCTCACATTTGGTAAGGTTTGAACCCCTGACCTCCTGAAAAGTTGGAGCACTACAGACCCTTAGACCATAGATCCTTTGGTAAATGTTTATATGATTGATGGAGGGTGGTCCAGCCATCTCACCCCGTGTCGTATAGCTAGCGAGATTTTGTAGTGGAACCGGTTAGAACTAAGGACGGAGGTCCAGACGTGTCACCCGTCAATATCGTACTATGTTCCGACATAGTTGGAGATCGGAACGACAATGGCGGCTCCAATGGTGAGGGAAAGTTCGCGGACCATTGACCTTCAAGCATGAAAACGACGGTTGACATTGTTGGGCGGTCATCGGGTTCTTTTTGTACACATAATAACGCGATATTGATCCATTTAAGAGCTTCGTCAGTCGGAAAATTTCGACTCAGACGACGATCTATCAATTCTTCTCCTTTGTTTTCCTTCCATGAGCGCCACACCTTCGATAACCGAAATACTTTTAGGATCGATCAAACTCGTGAAAATACAACATAAACCCTAAATTCATTCAAAACGCAAAAAGATGAATTTGCTTACGGTCGTGAGGAAGTTTTGGGGTTGATTTTGGTAACAAAATTTGTTGTTTCGTTGTCCGGAAATGATTTCTAACAACAATACACCAAAACTGTAGACGTCTGATTTTGTCGAGAATAATCCTTCCATTGCATACTCTGGTGCCATATATCCACTGTCGCAATCGAGATTCGTCGTTAGTAATAGAAATATTTTGTCGGTAAAACATTAAAATTTTAAAATACGTCCTCAAATGATTTGTGACGATGTGTTTAGTGACGATTCATTTGGCGTACAAAAATGTGTGAACTTACTACGTTCCGACAATTCTAATGGTGTTAGCTTCCATCTGATTGCCTCCGAAAATTCGAGCGGTGCCAAAATCTGAAATCTTCGAGTTCATGTCATGGTCCAAAAGAATGTTGCCCGCCTTCATGTCTCTGTGAATAATTTTGAGGCGCGAGTCCTCGTGTAGGTATCGAAGTCCCTTTGCGATTCCGCTTATGATGTTGGCACGCTTACCCCAATCCAATTCCTTACACTTGATAGGATCTGTTGCAAAACGAAAACCCTTTGCGTAAAGCTCTACAAAATGAAAACACTCTACGGAATTGATTTTTGGCGACGGTTGTTATCCGTCGGGAATGGCCATTTTTATCAGAGAGTTTGGTGATCGACCGATATCGAAAGAAACTACCCTCATAAAAGAAATGAAGTTTGTGCGATTAGAGAGGAGAGACGAACCAAAAAGAAAGGTGTCGAGACTGTTGTTAGCCATGTACTCGTAGATGAGAAGTCGTTCGGGACCTTTTATGCAATAACCCAAAAGCCGAACTAGATTCTTGTGTTGAAGTTTTATGATCAACTCTACTTCGTTCTTGAACTCTACGAGACCTTGCCCGGAGTTCATAGATAGTCGTTTTACGGCTATTTCTCGTCCGTCTTGTAGTTTACCCTGTAAAATTTTTAATAATTTTCAAAAATTTGATTCAAGCGAAAAAACGTTGGATGATCGTGAAAATTGTCGTTACCCTATAAACAGGACCGAAACCACCTTCTCCGAGCTTATTTTCGTATGAAAAATCGTTGGTAGCAACCTGTATAGCACTTAGACAGAAGAAATTCATCTCTCCGGTGTCGTCATCTTCCCGCTCATGCGTACTTCGTTCAGGTGAGCCGTCGCTATACCCCACTTGAAACTCAGGCAACAATGGGCCTATTTCAAAATCAGTCAGTCAAAATCAAACGCGACGCCACAATTCGTCGCTATCACATTCTTACTTGACCACATGGTTTTTGCAACAGCTCAGGGTGTCGCTAGAAACCGTATGCAGTCACTAACAAAGAATCGATCATTCGACAAAAACAATATCGTGCTAAAAGAAACTGAAATGATAAAAAGACGCGTTGTGTCGACCTTTTCGCTTCGGTTTCTGGCATCCTTTAGTAATAAGGAAAACCACTACCGCGATTACAACGATGGCTGCTAATATTGGACCAACGATGATTCCGATATTGGTACCTGTAAACGTGATAGTTTAACAATCTGTCGCAAATAACATATAATTAGTGACAGCTTTTATTTGTTACAAATAACGCTTAAAACTACTCACCTGAAGACGCCGGAGCCGGAGCCGGAGCCGGAAACCATGTGGAGCCGAAGAAACTATATGTCTGGTACCGAATTCCACAACTAGTCTTGTAAACTCTTGCTCCCAAGTTTCTATCGTACCGTCGAATTTCGACGATTGCTCCGGTCAAACACTCGTTGCATTCCGTCTCCGATAAATCCGGAGTACACTGCGTGATCGCAAAGATAATTGGCAATCCCGGTACCGTTATGTTGCCGGAAGCGTATTTCCGGAGCCGCCCACCACCAGCAGCCTCCGCCCGCAACTTTCCGAGCAATTCCTCCACCGTCCGATTCCATTGATCGTAATCAGAATCCGAAATATTATTCCGATTCGAGCTGCTACTTATAACACTAACTCCGGAACCCGTAGACCGATTAGAGTACCTTAAAAAGCAATTTTCGTCCAATCCGGTAGCCTCGACTTGGTTCTGGCAAACCTGTCGTAACCGGCGAGCATTATCTTCAACGCAACTGCGGCAGTTTTCCGGGATGATGTCTCCACGGCAAAGGGCGGCAGCGGTGGCTTCTCCGACGGTGGACTTATAAAACCCGAAGCCGTTGTTGGTGTCGGTTATGGAGTTTAGTAGGTCATCAAGGTCTTGTTGGTAGCCGGAGTTGTCAGTGTAGTTGCCGGAGCCGCCGCAGTACTCTCCCCAGAAATCATTCTGAGCGGTGGTGCGATCAAAATTGCAGATCAAGATTGAAAAAAGAAACAAAACCCAGATTGGGAAATCCATTTTCGATCGATTTTCTTTGATCGATGAATTAATCGGTAGTTGTTGTGGATGATTTAACATTTATGGGAATTAGTTGTGGGTCGTGTTCTTCGTCTTTATTATACTGATTGCTGACATTTTTGACCAATAATATCGAGATTCGAACAAACAAACAGAAGCTTGATTTATAAATCAAAAATGGCGAATTGCAAAATAGTGCGATCACGTTGGCTCGTGGTTAATTTATGGGTATAAAAATCGAAATAAGTCTCCATTGATCAAGACGTTTTGTTCATAATGATCGAAACAGCATCGTAGCGACTTGGAGTCAACTATAAAATCATAACTAATCTTGTTCGGTAATTAGGTCGGATACATTATTTTTGTCTAGTGGGGACATCTTTAAGGTAGATTAAAAGGCCGTAAGGCGACCATCTACTTCATGGATAGCCCGAAGTTACTGCATTTGAACCTCCGTGGCCACAAGGGGATTTTTATTCCTTTTTGGATTCGAACCTAAGACCTCCAGACAATTTTGATCTTTGAAGCTCAAGCTCAAACCAATCGGACACCACTCTTGTGTTTAAAATATTGATTTTAATCGGCTTGATTGGTTTCATCATGTTGTGCCCCGACACATATTTAGTTGGCTTGATTTTGACCCAGTTTTGTGCCTGATTTTGGTTTCAAATAGATACTTTAAAAATAAAAATTACAATATAATGGCTTAATTTACTGAATTTGTCGTCATGGTTTTCGCTTAGCGCGAAAAAAAGCTGGACATCTTCATACAATGAGTACGAGGCTTGGAGTTCGATTCCGACACAATCCAGGTTTTCATTGGACCCGTATTTACCTCCTAGTGCCACAAAGGCTTTTGGTGGTCTTATTGGCGCATACCACGGTGGGGTCTTCAACTGGGGTGAAGTCGTAACAAGGTAGTCGTAGGGGAACCTATGGCTGGATCGCAATGGAAATTCTCTTCAAGGTGCTTGCTTCCACTGGGTTGGGGAGAGGGGCGAAGGGTCCAAAGGACACGTAACCGGGGGAGAGTCCCTCATGATGATCGTAGATTTAGTATGGTGGGACACTCCAAAGAGCAATGTTGTACCCTTATTCCATAATAATATAATTAAATTAAATGTAAGGTCAAAGTTAGAAATTTTAAAACTTTAATGGTACGTTGTCACATCCCAATTTATGACGCCAAGACAACTTACAACGACTCAGTAAATAATGAACAGATATCATAAATGTTGTACACAACTTGCGCAGCATAAATGAAATCTCTATCGTAAACATGAAGATTAATTGAATACTAACTTGTCCTTTCTCCGACACAAACGTAAATAGAGCTTAAGATATAAACGTCAAGACCTAAACATTCATAGTATCTCGTACATGACACTAAACCTTCGTTTTCCGTTTGAAACTTTCGGACTTGGCGGCCATAAAATATGCTAATAGTCAGCTAACATCAGCGATATTAACGATTTTTATACAAGACTTTATATATAGTGAGTTATTTTTAAAACTTATATTTAATTTTTTTTTATTTCTTAATTTACACCATTATTTATCTATATTATATTATAAAAAATATTAAACGGTTATTATTGAATTTCTAAGAGGTATAAATTTTGATCTATTATGTACAATTTTTAAACCTCTACAACCTCCGTGTTCAACATGATAAATAAAAATAAATTTTTTTTATTATTAAATTACACTTTATACTTTTATAATTAGTTATTTAGTTTACTTTATACATTATCTTTTCCTGTTTTTCATTTTACGCATTCTCATATTAATATATGTAACTATATATTAACAAAATATATTTAAAAATGTTTATTTTTTATAAATTATACCATTTTAATCGTATATTCAATACCTTCAAAATGAACCCAATATCAAAAGTTATTGAATTTAATAATATTATTAAATATGATAAATACGTACTGATTTTTTTTAGTATCTAATTTTTTTTATTTTTTATTTTCCATTTTACACCCTTATCTATTTATACTATATTATTTATTATTGTTGTTGAATTTTAACTGTCATCTATGCATTATTTACAAGTTTCTAAAGCCTCCACCCCATCCTCCCCTTCCTTTCCTACTTCTCCCACATTTCTCTCCCACTACCTTGAATTATTGTCCACGTTCCACTGTCTATAAAACAATCGGCTAAAAGGAAAACTATATTACTCTCAATTTTGGGATGAAATCGACAATCCGGGTACAAATTTTGAAACCAAAAGAAGGAAAAAGGGCATCCATCTCCCTCCAACCTTTCTCTTCCTGCCATGGAAATCACTCCATCCACCATCGTCACTAAACCATAATCATGCTCTAAAACGGCGGTTTTGAAAGCCCATCCCCACACCCAGATCCACCAGATACATCCTCACGACACGCCTTTATTCCAATCCACCGTCTCACGCAACCTCCGTCATTTCAATATTTCGATTATTTGCAGATTATCTAGAATAAGTGGGAGAGAGGTTCTTGGGAAGAAAGCATATAGAAATGATTTCAATAGGTTCAACATCATGTATGTTAGCCAATCTGACATTATAAAGTCGCACTATCTACACTTAATATTCACTCATCAACTATTTTATGTTTTCAAGACGATGTATGTTAAAGAGGTTAATCCAACATTTTATAGATGCAATAAATTGCTTAAACTCACAGAGTAATTTCAATATTCAATACTTCATGTCCTTTTACATAGTTCTATTTCGATAAGTTCACCTTATAGTTTTTTCTTGTTTGAAAAATATAATATTATGATATTTTTAATGTTTACAAATACCGTTGATCTTTCAAAGATGAGATGAAGACTGAAGTTGTCAAAACAAAGTCTTCAAATCCTTTTGAGATTTAAAGATGAACTCAAACCCTTTAGGTCCGTCTATGGATCAAACCCTTCACAAACTCAGCCATAACCAACATGATCGTGTCAAATCCTTCCTAAATCCCGGGTGGACCTACCCTTTTCGGTATGATTATTCATGAAAGCATAACAATATAGGGGTTAAATGTAAAAAATTTAATGTATATAAACATGAAACTATAAGTTTTTTGGGATGAAATTGTAATTTTTTTGGGTTAAAACCATAAATCAAAAAGTAAGAGATAAATCGAAATTATACTTTTAGCTCTTTAAATACCCAATTGATTTTAATATACGTATTTTCGTTTATAGATTACACCGTTAGAAAGGTTTCGTGCATACCTTTAAAATGAACCCAATATGGAATATTTTTAATGATAACACAAATAAAAAATAACATATTTTTAAAGTTAACTGTACGAGTGTATTTATGATACTTAGTTGATGCAACCATTTCGGAAAAAAATTGGATCTGCCTCGATTGTGCCAAATCACGAATAAGTCTTACACGACCATGCATGTTGTATAGGCTCATTCAGAGGTTTTTAGTTAGACTATGTTCGTCATCCCTCCCTGCAAAAAAACCGCCTTTATCTCAAAGATACTCATTCATCGTCATAAAAACGCTTTTAACCCATATATCTAACTCCCAACATGAACTTGACATCATATAATCAACATTACATGGATTAAATCAGTCGGTCTCTTCTACGTATCTAACGACACTACGAGTACAACATTTTCCTTCAACCAGACAACCTTATAGTCCTTCTCCTTGACTCCATTAATCTACTAATTTCTCAACAACATATGTTCAGAGGCGGAACATAAATGGACTGGATCAGCAATAGTGGAGGGGCCCAAAAGAATTTTATACTTAAAACCTTAATGGACCGGAGATGTTTCACTCTATCAGGAAAAAAGTCCAAGGGCGAAGGCCCCTATGGCCATCCGCCCCTGCATATGTTGCTAAGCAAGCGTAATCAAACAACGATTTAACATAAAACTCTTACCTTGATTGCACTTGTGAATGCTTGAAATCCAACTCAACTCCATGCTTTGATCCCGTTGTTTCAATACAACAGCTTGCAAACACGCCCAGAAAGAATTTCCATCAATAATGATTAGGGTTTGAGATATAATCCTCCATCCCTCAATCATTGCCTAAAATTTAACGAACCCATTCTCTCATGTCTACGTTACACCAAACGTCAATGCCTTTTAAAAGTAATCAACTAGCCCGTCACTTGATTCTATAACTACATTCACGTTTGAATCAGGGTTGTAATAAACGACCAATGTACATATATGATAATGCTAACTAAAAGCATATCAATGTGTTCTCAACGGTTGTTCTGTCTTTCACCTCAGTAGTTACAGAATATGTACTTAGGATGGAAGAACAGTGGCTAAAAACCCTCATGAACACGAGTGCATCCACGTTGAAGTCTATGCAAAATTAAAATATAGTTTCGATTTTAATGCGTCTTTAGGTTAAAGAAAATTAGGTCCGTTTGTGCTCCCGTGGATTTATGAAAAACGTAATTTTTGTCGTTAAATGCAATTGTGTAATAAGATAAGGGTTGAAGTGTTATTTAGTTAGTTCTTTTCAAAGAGCATATAACTAATTTTCAGAATTGCACCTTGAACTTTATGCTTTTTTGTAAGTTAAACCCTAATGCTCGTATTCGTTACAAATAGGTTGGTGTATTTTCCTCCCTTCCTCAATAGGTCCATCTAGGCGACTCAAAAACCCGAACAACCCGATCAACTCAATCCAAACCAACACAGAATAACTTAACACGAAGCAACCCAATGTTTAATCGAGTTGTAAAATTTTCAAACCTGTAGGTATTGGGTTGATATTAAGTCACTATTATTTGAACCCAACCAACTCGATGAACCTGATATCCTTTTATTCCTTAGATTTAATATGATTGTTGAATTTTTATTAATATATACATTAGACAATTACACTATCACGTACGCTCTTCATATACACATATTTTCAATCTATTCACATCTCTATATAACTCATTCGTATATATGTTCAGTAATTGTGAACATATATATGTAAATTAAGAAAATTTGCTGAATATGATATACGTAAGAAGTATGAATAAGTTGTATCAAATTGT